GTGACGTTCTTTTCCGAAAGGGCCATGTGACTGACAACAGCAGTCATAGGCGAGTTATGCAAATCATCTAAACAGACAGCACTGGCATTCTTAGGTCTCAGCATCACCGTGCACTTGCCAAGAGGCGATTACAGCAAATGCTTGGAGCGCTTCCACTCTGCTGCCGGCACAGCCTTTCGTGCCCCTGTGACCAACGCATCAGACACAAGAAGCAAACAAGAGTCACTGGGGAATCATGGTGGAATTTAAGTCCACGCATTCCAAGTCGCAAATTAGCGATGCTACAGAAACAATGTCACTGGCTAATTGGGATGGAACCTATTAGCGCTGTTGGAGGAACGTGAGACAAGGACGGCAGCTCCCCAGGGCGGGGAAGTGGAGGAAGAGCCAGCGATGGCCACAGGCACTGCGGTTTGCAGGCCATCTTGTCTACCCCCAGCCCGAAGCAAGCATTTCTTCTCTCCCTTCTGAATCAGAACAGACCAGACAAGGAAAACTGCCCGTGTTGTTATGCAATAAGTATGCAAAAAGTTTGTTCCTTGGCGTGTGTTTCACATTTAACCTCCAAAGCCATCCTGAGGTCAGTAGTGCAACTGCCGTTTCCCAGCCGCCTGCCTACAGGTGATGCTGGAGAAATACGAATCCTCTAGGTCACTCACTCATTCACTCATTCATTCATTCACCCGCCCCAAACGCAAACGAGGCACTACATGGACTCAGTGTGCCCCAAAGAGCCCAGCTGCAGTGGCAAGGTCTGAGTGCCCCGGAGGCCACCTCTGGCACTCGTGGCAATGCTAATCCATAGAACGTTCTTCCCCGTAGGGAGCCGAAGTGCCTGTGAAGGTAACCAGCAGGGCGCAGTGGTGCCCGCACGGCACACAGAGCACAAGGAGCCACCGGCGAATGCAGGAGGGCTGCAGGAGACAGCACGTGCCTACAGGAGACAGGTACGGCATGCGCCTACAGGACACGGCCCGCATCCTCTCCTCCCGGTTCAGCTCCATGCAGGTTCCTGGCTCTGCGGCTCGCAGTGTTTTCCCGCCTACCCTTAGTCTTTGGGGACAGGAAATGCTTGAACCTCACTAACCCGGGCAGAATGATGCTGTCTTCCCCGCAAATCGTTTTGAAGAGGCCCTGTCAGAGGACAATGGCTTCGCTGCCCACATAAAAGTGTGCGTGTGGCTTGCTGGCCCGGGGCACCAGGCAGAGTCCCACCCGCTGGGGCAGCGAGCAGGCCTGGGGTGGGGGGAGAGCCCTCCACCCGGCAGGCTTATTCTCTCCACGTCCAGCGAGGGCTGCCAATTAAAAAGGGGCTCCTTTTGGCCACAGGCAGGCGTTGTGTCTGGTGTGAAGGCAGGGGTCACGGCTCCTGGGAGATCCACTGTTTCTCACAACCCAGCCCCACGGCCCGCACGACTGCAGAGACCAGGCTCGCGCTGGCAGCTCCCTGGCCTGGAGCTCCACGGTGATCAAGACCACCTCTGCCAGGCGGTTCCCCACCAGGCCGCTGCCGCCTTCAGGCAAACCTGCTTTGCTCAGTCTTTCGACCTTGACTTCCCACCACGTCTATCATTGCTGCGCGCGGACGGACGTGGACGGACGCCGGGTCGCCATACCCAGGGTGAAGCTGTTTCCCGCAATAATTTAACAAGGCCAACACTGGCGGAGCACGCACTACGGAGCAGGCACTCAGGAGACAAGACCGCGGTTCTCTGGCCTGTCATTCAGTGAACCCCACGAACATTTCCTTGGGGGGCTCATCCGCCCCTCAGGGTGGTCCGGCGGGTGCAGCCCACCCAGCTGCCTCTGGGGAGGACCCAGCACATCGTCGTTGCAAGAAAACCGACGGCAGGGAGGCTGAAGATTCTCTCTGCGGTGACCTAAGCAGCGACAGGTTCAAGGTCAGAAGCCACGGCCTCAATCCACTAGGCCTCTCTCCCACCTGCCCCCCTATTTTTAATTATTCACTGCGTTTATCTGAAAGGCAGAGAGACAAAGAGAGATAACTTCCTCCCCACCCAGCAATGGATGGTCCATTGCCCAAATGCCTACAACAGCTGAGCTGGGCCAGGCCCAAGCCAGGAGCCGGGAACTCAATCCGGGTCTCTCATGGGAGTGCAGGGACCCAGGTGCTTGAACCCTCATTGGCTGCCTCCCGGGGTGCGCATTAGCAGGAAGCCAGCTGGGAAGCAGAGTCAGGATTTGGGCCAGGGACTCTGATAGGGACGTGGGCATCACAAGTGTTCTTAGCCACTGTGCCAAACGCTCCAAATGCTGGCCATCTGTGTTATCCTTTTCGGGTAAGGTGAGACCAGGAAGGGCCGCAGGGCCCTGGGAACACACCTGCTCCTATGCAGTGACTCGGGGTCTCCGAGGGGCACAGGGTATTCCATTCAGGGCAATCATGTCCAACTGACCCACACACTGCCCTGCCATGACATGGGGCAGGCCCCAAACCAGCTGCCCTCCGCGCCAGTGGCTTTGGCACCATTGCGTCCCAGGCTGGGGTGAAGGGGGCTTGCCCACGAGACTGGAGAGGGCCCCCGAGAGACGGAGGGGTCTCCTGCCGAGTCAGCCTTGGCGAAGGCCACAGAACAGTGCGCAGCCCCCCCCCCCCAGCCAGGCCTGCCGAGAACCCCGTTCTGTGGGACTGCGACAGGTGGGAACCTTGGGGTGGACAAAGTCAGCCGTGGCCCCACTGCCTCCCGCCTCCTGGTTACTTTCAACCGATCACAACAACCGGAGGGAAGGGTCAGGCTCCCGAACAGTCGCAGCAGCCACCGGAGATCTCGCATCTTGGGAGGGGCTGACCACCTCCTTCAGGCCACCCTCGGGCCGGAGGCTCCACCCTCCCTGGGTGCCCGCTCAGCCACAGGCATAGGTCACTGGGAAGCCTGCACATGGGTGTGACCTAATTCCTTTCTCAGGACCACGCTCGGTCACAGTATCTCCTGTCTTTCTGATGACGTCACTGATGGTCAGTGACGTCCCCCACTCAAGGACTGTTCAATCCCTGTCCGTGGCAGGCTTTATATCCACTTGAACCAAGGTGTGTGGCCACCATGGGGACTCCGGACAGCGCTCGCGTGCAAAGCAGCCCAAAGGTGCCGAGCCCTAGGGTCATCCTGACTCGGAATCCCACTCTGTCACTTTGGCTTTGTAGGGGACCAAGCCTGCACAGCTCTGTCCTGTTCTGAGCCAGAGACGCTGACAGGTAGCAGTGGAAGGATCCTTTGGTCATAAATTGACTCCCACAAAAAGAATCGACCAACCACGGCAAAGCACAGGAAATAGCTCCAGAAACACGTTTTTATCAGGAAGATTCTGGATCCGGGGGCCTTTCTCTGACGGCAGAGTTCCGAATCAAATAAGAATTTCAGTAACAGACCGGCAGCAGCCACTCCCCAAACACATACAAGTCACAGGCGCAAAGCTCAGTGAAGGAAGAGCCGTGGGAGCTTCCTAGGGGCAAGAGAGACAGTGGCAAGGAGAGCAGGCGGTAAGAAGCAGCCGTCTAGGGCAGAACTTTTCTCGGCTCGTTCCAGTTCATACTCCTGGAGAATTTACATGCATTTTTGCATTTCTGGGCAACGCGTAGGAGCGTAATTCCAACAGAGTGTTCCTCGCAGCTGCTAACTTAAGTTTCAAAGTCAGCCCATGAGGATTCCGGAATGAGGTGGACTTCACTCTCCCCAACTTCCCAGCTCACCGCAGTCGGAAGGGGCGTTTGGAAATACTTCCTATCATTCCTGCAACAGCACGGGACGGGCAGTGTGGCTGCCAGGCTGCCCAGCGTGCAAGCAGCCCAGGTCGTGTGACCGGAATGAAGAAAACAAATACGGACCCCAGAGATAAAATGACCTTAAGCAATGTCTTGGCAGAGCGACCTTCTTGCTGTGTTTGCAATTAAAAGAAAAGGCAAAAGAGAAAAAAGCAGGAGCGTCCCCCCAAATTAAAACTCAGACCTAAAGTTCTGTTGCGGTGGCCCCGAGGGAACAGCTTTACGTGAGCCAGCAGTCAGCAGGCACCAGCCCGGCTCTGGATGTGAACAATCCCAGGACAGTCTGCAAGGTGGTTCCTAAGAGGGCCTTCAACAGAGAGCAAAGAGAATGCTCCAACATTCTGAAGAGGAAAGAGGAAGGGAGACTGGTGGCCGGGGCAGGGACCTGAGCAGACTTTTGGAAGGACACAAGCAAAGATCTCGGCACGAGATCCACATCGCCTCGGTGTGACGAATGCAGGCAGCAAGATAAAACAAGAACAAAAGAGCAAGAGCCGGACCGCTCTGAACGCCCTCCTCCCGGCTCCCCTCCCCCCCCCCCCAACGGGCTGAACAGGTCCGCGCCTTGCAGCCAGGTTTCAAAGATGTCTCCCTCTGCTCCCCTCCCTCGGTTGTAAAAAATCAGATCAACGTCACAGACGAGCTGGCGGGGCTGGACCAGTGGTTAGGCCAGACTGAGCGGATCAAGTGTCAGGCCAGGGACGGCTTCACCGCGCAGGTAGAATGTCAAGGCATCCGTCCACTCTCGGCTGTCCAGAGACTCACTCCGCCGGGGCCCAGGGCCAGGGCCAAGCCAATCAGCTCCCATTTCCCATTCAAACGCCTCCTTCCGTCCCCTGGTGGTCCACACGCCAAGAGAGAGCTCCACTCACCTTGTCCAGCTCTGACTCGGGGCTCCCAGAGAAGCGGCAGCCAGGAAGCTCTCGTCCCGCCTGGGTGGACAGAGGAGCTGCTTGGGCCGCCTGAACTGTGACCAGCCTCAACTTCAGCGTACAGGTGCCTGGGGGAAGGAGGAGGCCATTGGTTGGCCCGGAGCAGGAAATGTGTGACGTCACGGAAGCCCGGGCAGATAAAGCATTGCAGAGACCTTAGCGACTGCAGGAGTCAGTAGGTCCCGCCCACCTGTCATTTACCTGAATACCTGGGAGCTGGTAGGTGGCGTCTTTCCGCGGACAAATGAATCAGTTAGAGCAATTTGCCAGGCGGAATTTACTTTCCTTTCTGCGTCCGGCACGTGTCCAGCCCCGTGTACAGATCTGAATGCCTGTACCTGGTCATTCCTTCGGCTCCTCCCCCTGGCACTTCCTGGCTGCCTGGCACCCAGGCATCCGAAGGGGAGCTGAAACCTCGAAATGAGGCAGCGATTTGGTGGGTGCAGAGAGCACCAGTTTGCGAAGATCGAGTGCTTAGAAATATCTGCAGTCCACCCCCTCAACACACTCTCCCCATGCCCTTCTGAGTGGCGTCCACCTGGCTCTCTGGACAAGCTGGAGGCGACGAACAAAACCACTTTCCAGAAACCTCAGCACGACCCCCGCCTCTCCAAACACATTCTGCGTCGCACGCTCGGGCATCTGAATCCGGCCGTCTGGAATCTGCGCAGCGCCCGGCATTCCCACCTGCGCTGGCCTGCCAGCTCGAGTCACCGATGAGCCACCCACCATGGGCGCGCAATTAGCAGCGCCCGGTGACTCAGGTGCCAGCGCCAGCGCAGGAATGCGGCCGTGCCGCGGGGGCCAGGCAGGAGCGCTCCGGAGCGCGGGGCGCGACCCTGGCCCGGGGCTGGGTTGCGGCGCCTGCAGCCGGACTCCGAGGTCGCCCGCAGCCCGCAGACACGTGCTCCCCCCTTGAAGAAAGCAAGCGTGGGAGTTCCCCGTCCTGCTGCTCGGGGGCTCGGGGGTCCGGCCGGTTGGCGGATTGGCTGGGGTGGCACCTGCCGCCGCGCCGGCTCCCTCCCCCGGCCGCCCCGCGCGCGCTCAGAGGACAGCCCGGAGCTTTTCAAATAGGCACAAAGAACTTCTTTCTTCCCGACTTTGCCCAGTGGAACTAACGTAGGTGTGGCTGCCCCTGCGTGATTTAAAAACAAACAAAAAAAAGCAGGCGTTTCAGGAAAAAGCATGGGCCCACCCGTCCGTACGGAGCTGAGAATCCAAAGGTTGCCTTGCTCAGATATGGGTCTCAGAGGGGCAGGGCCGGCCGCCCAGCCGGCGACCCTGCACGAGGCCCCGCCCCACGCGCTGTCAGTCACGCCTCACCTGGGGCCCAGGGCGCTGGGCACACCTGGGAGGGCGGCGCCTGGGACTGGATTTGCGGAAAGGGACGGAGCCTCAGTGGGGCCTCCCCTGCTGGTTTCCCCTGCACAGCCGCTGCCCGTGTGGTCTGGTGAAGAAACCACAACAGAAGGTAGACCAGAGTGGAGCAACCGGAGACAGGGCGGAAAGCCAGGGGAGCTCCTGGACTTGGCATAATCCCCAAGGGGTAAGCAGAGGTGAACATGGGCCTGGTGATGCCACTGGGGCCCCTGCAGGGTCGCGGCCCGTGTATTTCTAAACCATTGGCGGAAACGAGAGAAGAATCAGGGCCCCACAGTTAAGCTGTGTGCGTCCTGCATCTCGGCCTGGGTTTGATCCCCAGTTTCCTGCCGCTGAGGCCTTGGCAGGCAGCACTGATGGCCCCAGTGCCTGGGTCCCTGCCACATTCGGGGGGGGGGGGGGGGGGGGGGGCTGGGTTAAGGTCCTGGCCTCTGGCCTCAGCCTGACCCTGGCTCCCCAGCTTTTGTGGGGGCTCTCTCTGTGTGTCTCTCTCTGCCTCTTAAAAAAACATCCTGTGAACTGAATGGCTGGGTCCTCCCCACGTGTTGCTTGCTCTTCTGAGCACTTCGTGGGTGCTCCAAGGCAGGTCCTCCTGCTGTTTGCCCGCGGCAGCTCAGAGAACCCAGGCACAGAGAGGCCGAGGAGCTGCTGGAGACGGCTCAGCCAGCACGTGGTGGAGCAGAACGGGCTTCGCCACTGGCAAGAAAGGCGGGGAGGCTCCTGATTCCACACTGACCGGGCACCTTCCTGGCCAGCACTGCGGCTTCGCCGGGATCCGGTACTCGGAGGGGAGTGCCTGGGGTTGGGGGCAGAGGGTAGCTTCTGGGAAGGGAAGTCTCGGTGAATTAATGCGTAGCCTGGCTGATACATGGGGTTTATTTGTATGGAACAATTAGACCTAGCAGTGCACTTATGCCTACAGGTGTACTTCAGAAAAAATTCATGGAAAATGGAATTAGAAGAGAAGTTTATGTTGGTACAAAAATTGGAAATCCATATTTTTTTTAGATTTATTTATTTATTTAACAGGTAGAGTGACACACACACACAGAGAGAGAGAGAGAGAGAGAGAACTTCCATCCACTGATTCACTGCCCAAATACCCACAACAGCCAGAGTAAGTCAAGATGGAAGCCAGGAGCCTGGAGCTCCAACCAGGTCTCCCACATAAGTGCAGGGGCCCAAGCACTTGGCCCGTCCTCTGCTGCTTCCCCAGGTGCGTTAACAGGGAGCTGGATTGGAAGCAGAGCGGCCAGGACTGTATTCAGGGCTCTGATGAGGGGTGCCAGTGTCGTAAGAGGTGGGTACCCTGCTGTGCCACAAAGCCAACACGACGGAACTTTTTCATCACACACGTTTCCCATAAACTTTTTGAGGACACCTTATGTGCAGGCATTTCAAAATTTTTGCACCCAAGTAAACTTGAGTTCCATTGTCCATGAACTTTTTGAAGTACCCTCCTGTATCGGTGGCAAAACACACCACCAAACCCGTCACTCCTGTGCACTGGGATCATCCATTTGGGACCCATGGTGCCAGCAGAGAAAGGGGAGACCAGCTTGAGATGCCCCTTGAGAGAACTCCCTGTAGCCCCTTGCCTCTCTAGATCTGAAAATCTCCCCAGAACAGGCATCAGGATGTGGAACTGCGCTCAGCTGGATAAGGTGGGACAAAGTAACGCTAATTTCCACTATAAACCAGTGCAGGGCGTGGGCGGAGGCAGTAGTGATTAGGGCGTGGGGGGAGGCAGTGGTGATCAGAGCCGTGTGTGTCGGGAGGAGCCCGTGAGGGGTGGGGGACAGTGTGTGCACCCTGCTGGAGGGAGGGGCCCTCCGGGTGCAGAATTTGGATGGGCGACGTGGGACCAGGTCGCAAAGCACTTCAGGAGCCCCTAGGACAGACTGCTTCCCGCTGGCTGCTCGTCTTCTGCGGATTAATGGCTCACATGAGAGAGAGAGACACCCAGCGTCTGGGGCACGGGGTCGTCTCTGAAGGGTGACGGTGTGGTCCGCGTTGGGCCGCTCTTCCACGGTGTGCCGTGTCGGTGGCCACATGCTCTTCTCTGTCTCTCGGAATGAGCCTCCTCCATGGCCAGAATGTGCTGGAAGCTTTGTTCTCCGCAGAGACAGGCGGAACACATTAGCGAGCTCTCTGAAGTCAAGGTCGGGCCTGTGCTCCTTGGCCAGCCGGCCGCTCGGGCTTCTGGATTGGTTTGAAGTCTCTGTATCCGAAGCAGGAGGTCTGCTCTGCAAGCCATGAAGGCTGACACTCCCAAGGACCTCGCCTGGCAATGACCTCTTGCCTTGGCCGTGCCTTGCGGTCTGGGAGAATTACTCTGCCCCTTTTATGCTGCCTGTCCCCTCCCTCTCCATGACATATTTGTAGAGATGGGACAACAAAATCGACAGAGCTCATGTGATTTTCATAAAAGTTATGTCTAGAAAAAGCCTCTCTTGCTCTGATTTCGGGAGGTATTTTGCGCATGAGACAGAATTGCTGTAGACTGACACACGCCGTATTCAGGCATCAGTTCTGTGCGTCTCCCTCAAGCAGCTCAGCTGCGCGGTGCTCACAGCGAATCACAAGTGCTCTGCATGATGCGAATGAAGAGATTCCAGGAGAGTTGTGGGAAATGATAGTCACAATGAGATAACAGTTGACGTGATGATGTCACCTGGCTCTGTGGGTGTGGGTGGGTTCCCCCCTCCTCCCTCCCTTCCTTTGATTTATTTGAAAGGCAGAGTTACAGAGAGAGGGAGAGAGAGAGAGATCGTTCATCTGCTGGTTCACTGCCCCCAACAGTCAGGACGGTCCAGGCTGAGCCAGGCCAAAGCCAGGAGCCTGGAACACCGTCTAGCTCTCCTACTTGGGTGCAGGGGCCCAAGCACTTTCCCAAGCTGCTCTCCCAGGCACATTAGCAAGGAGCTGGGTTGGAAGTGGAGCAGCTGGGACTTGAACCAGCATTCATATGGGATGCCGGCACTGCAGGCAGGGAGGGGTCAACCTGCTGTACCATAGCGCTGGCCAGAGACTCCACTTTTTTTTTTTTTAGATTTATTTATTTATTTGAAAGGTAGAGCTACAGGAAAAGAAGGAGAGAGAGAGAGAGAGAGAATCTTTCATCTACTGGTTCACTCTCCAGACACAATGGCCAGGGCTGTGCCAAGATAAAGCCAGGAGCCAGGAGCCTCCTCTGGGTCTCCCACGCCGGTGCAGGGGCCCAAGGACTTGGGCCATCTTCTACTGCTTTCCCAGGCCGTAGCAGGGAGCTGGATGGGAAGTGGAGCAGCCACTTTTCAATGCCTATGCTGTGTGGTTGGCAGAGCAGCTCCATGGGCACCCCTAGCTCAGGAGGAGATGCTGATGTAGCCTGGGGGCTGGGGGAGAGCAGACAGGAGGATGTGGGGGGGGAGTTAGCAGTGGCGGAAGGCGGCCCCCGTGCGGTCAAGGGTTCCCGCACAGGGCTGTGGCCAGCGCATCTCCCCTAGCAGAGCAAGAAGGAACCTTACTGTTGTCTCCATGTTTCACCTGGCCCACAGCATGGGGCCACGGATGTCGCCACGTGAGCTCCGTGCTGCCCCACGGTTGTCACGCTGTGTCTCTTTCTTGTGTCTTCCTCCGCCACTCCCTTAGCTGAGCCAGTTCCATAAATGGAAGATGTCAAGTGTCCCCGTGCTTGGTCCCTGGGGCCTGCTCCCGGGGGCTTCCCCATGCTGGGAGCCCCAGCAGTGTCAGCTCCCCGGCTACATCGACAGCAACGTTGCCCTCTGCTCCTCGCGAGCCAGCAAGTCTCAGGGCCACCCCTCAGGTCTCGTTAGCACCCAAAGTCTCCTGTCTGAGGATGTCGCCTTGTCACCGTCCTTGGCCATCTCCCTGCCGGTCTTCCCGCTCAGCCCCTCTGCCATTGTGTCCCTAAGCTCCTCTCCCTGGCCTGGCACCAGATGCTCTGCCCCGTCTGTGCCTGGCTGCCCACCAGGCTCACACACATCTCCTGACCCCTCCAGGCCCAGACCCTAGTGACAGCTTGTTAGAGGGGCATGGTCACCCCGTCCCTTAACCGCTCTGTCCCCCGGAGCCCACCTGTCCCATGGCTTTGCTGCTCCCCTTTCTGTCTGGGGAGTGAGCCCGAGCCCAGCTGCTCTGTGTTCAAGTCTCCTCAGGACAGGTGTCCCTGGGTGATGTTGCCATGATCACATCCACCCGTCCTGGGTAGCTCCTGGCTCATCCTCCAGTGTAGCTCTTACTATTTTTTAAAAAGATTTATTTTATGTATTATAAAGGCAGAGTGATGAGAGAGGGGGAAAAAAGAAATATTCCAGCCGCTGATTCACTCCCTAAATGACCACAATGGCTAGGCCCAGGTCAGGCTAGAGCCAGGAGCCTGGAGCAACCCATCTGGGTCTCCCATGGGAGTGGCAGGTGCGCCAGCACTTCAGCCATCCTCAGCCGCTTTCCCAGGCGCATCAGCAGGGAGCTGGATGGAGAGTGGAGCGGCCAGGACTTCACTGGGCGCCCATATGGGATGCAGGCAGCAGCTTAGCCCACTGCACGCTACACTGGCCCCAGCACCATTATTTCAAAGGTGATAGTTTGCCCTACATAATTATTCTTTATGATTTTTCTCAAATTATCCCAGACTCGGGTGGGAAGGAAGGGCTCTGCTCATTGGGGTGCCCCGGGATGCTCCCCAAAGCTGTTTGTGGTTCCTGTAACAACCCAGTTGTCTGACGTCTAGCCTCACGTGTCTGTTCAGTTCCCATTGCCTGGGGAATTCGCTTTGTGCACTTACTCTGGGTTCTGCTGTTGAGTCCTGGCTGAAATCCCACCACTGGACAGATTAAGACAGCAGGTCTCGGGGCTATCGCTGTGGTGTGGTGGGTAAAGCCACCGCCTACAGTGCCAGCATCCTATATAGGCACCGGTTTGAGTCCCGCCTGCTCCACTTCTGATCCAGCTCCCTGCAGATGCGCCTGAGATGGCCCAAGTGCTTGGCCCCCTGCACCCTGCAGACTCCCGGTTCCTGGCTTCAGATTGGCCCAGCTCCACCAGTGGTGGCCATTTGGGGAGTGGGCCAGCGGATAGAAGATCTCTCCCTCTCTCTCTCTTTCTCTGTCTCTCTCTCACACGCTACCTTTTGAATAAGTAAATATATTTTTAAAACAAAAAAAGCCACGGAGTTTCTTCAGAGCCTGCCTCCTCTCCAGCCTGCCACCCACCCTTGGGAGCAGAGGCAGCCTCTGATGACCATTGGTTAAAGGGACTGTCGAGGAACACAACGCAGGGGATGGGACGGAGGGAGGGGGCGAGCACCCAGTGGGTTAGGGCTTGAGTCATCCCTTCCTCCCCCCGAGAGTCAGGCCTGCACACTCACTTCGGGTGTTTCATTTCCACTACAGTGCACAAGAGTCTAGCCATCTAGACGATACCCATTCATCCAGCCACCCCTCTGTACCACGGCCGATTAAGCACCTCCGGACGCCAGCCAAGGGCACGGATGAAGTCTGTCTGCCTCCAGAGCCCACGGTCCCCGGGAAGCGGAGTGGAAGACGACCGAAGTGCAAGGTGGAAGTAGCCCCGAGGGAGGAAAGTTACAGATGCCAAAGAACTTGCCTAGCTTCGCCAGGCGAGTAAAAGGCGGAGCTAAGGTGTGAGTGCTGTGCCCGGGGACCTGCCCTGGCCCTCAGCCAGGGAGGGCTGGGCAGAGCAGGAGGCTCACGGGAGCCAGCACCTAAACTCGCTCCTGGGTTCTGTGCGCGTCACCCCACACAACCTCGCGTCTGAGGGCTTTTCCCACCTGCACAAGTGCAGCAGCAGGTGCTCTGCGTGGTAGGGAGACCAGCTGCTTCCTCCTGGTCTCCCATGGGGTGCAGGGCCCAAGCACTTGGGCCATCCTCCACTGCCCTCCCGGGCCACAGCAGAGAGCTGGCCAGGAAGAGGGGCAACCGGGACTAGAACCTGGCACCCATATGGGATGCCGGTGCTGCAGGCGGAGGATTAACCTAGTGCGCCACGGTGCCGGCCCCTCGTTAGGTATTTTGTAACTTAAACCGCTTGCACTGCTGTTTTGGTATGGTCAGTCCTCAGTGGAGAGGAATAAGTCACCATTTTCCCCTCCCCAACCTTGGGATATCTGCTGTGTGTGTGTGTCTAATGGAATACTTTGTCCAGGTTAAGAACTCACATCCTGTCAACTTCTCCCCAGGGGGGTTAGAAGGTCATACTGAAAGTGGACTTCCATCCCGGAGCGGGCGGCCCTCGCAGACAGGGCTCACGGCCAAGGAGCAAGCCTCTCCTCACAAACCACTCACCAGGCAGCCCACAGCGCGCTCCGGATCCGGCTAACAGGGTCCGCTTTCACTGCTTCTGCCCAGGAAGTGGACTGGAGCCCCAGCCGCACTCAGGCCCCCACACCGGTGTCGCTGGCCCAAAGGCCTCCCCGGGGTGACCAGTCCTGTGCGATCAGCCTGCACCTGGCCCAGTGCTGCTCGTGCTCCGCCCACCCACTCCTGAGCTCTCAGTGGGAGTGGTGGCATCTCCTCCAGGGAGGGGAACCAGGAGCCTCGCGCCAGGGGTCGCCAGCAGGTAAGGGCCAAGCTGTCCGGCAGCTCAAAGCCCAGTCTTTAAACGGGCTGCCACCACTTCTCCCGTCCCCATGCCCTGCTCTCAGAACCTGCGTGCCATGCCCCCTTCTGACCCTGCTTAAGCCAAAGGGGCCTGGGGATGATGGACAGAGGGGCGGAGCCAGAGAGAGACTCCAGGGTCTACTGCGCATGCCCACAATCCTGAAGCCGCTCTCTGCGGTGCCGGCAGATGGAACGCAAGGAGAGGAGCGAGCTCTCCCTGTGTGCCTGGACTGTCCCCAAGGCGACAGACGCCCAGAGAGCATTGCATAGTCCCGGGCCTGATTCAGCAAAGTCCCTGCACGCGGGGATGTGAGAGTGGCGGGGACAGCTCTCAGGACGCAGTGCGAGTCTGAAGCCACAGAGGAGAGGGGCAGGGAGGGTGAGGCGGGAGCGCACGTGAGCCACGGACAGCCGTGGGCACGATGCCGTCTCAGAATCCAGCCGGAGCCAGAGCTGCGCCTGGCTGGGAGGGCCCAGCACTTGGGGTTCTCCACTGGACTCTGTTTTAAAGCAAGCCAAACACACCCAAAGCCTGGGAAGATGACTGCTTTCAAGTGGGCCCTGGCTTGGGCCGTGAGCTCTGGGGCCCTTACGAGGCCACGGAAGGGAAGGAAAAGGGACAACGAGAGGCAGAGAGTGGAGTTTCTTGGACGACATCAGCGCTCTGGACCTCGGCACCGCGCTCTGTACGAAGGCGGTCCAGGACGGCCCCAACTGTAAGATCAACGGGGCTGCCATCAGGCGAGTTCCCAGGGGGCGAGGAAAGCACCTTTCTAATACCCGGGGCACCCTGGTCTGAGGGCGGAGGCAGCGCACGCGTGTGCCCTGCCCCTGCTGGCCACAGGGCAGTGTGGGGCTCCACCCTGGGACCCCAGGCTCCTGTCTGTGTTGAAGGCCCCCTCTTTTGTAGCCATGGTTTCCAGCTCACGGAGAAACTCCATGTCTTTGTTAAATGAATGCACAAATGAAAAATTACATTTAAGGAAAGGAAAGCGAAAGGAAGGATTTGGGTGCAAAATAATACAGAGTTGGGTTATGGGCGGGGAGCACTAGGCTGGGCTCCTCCAGGGGAGTCAGGAGTGGTTCACTCCTCACGTCCACTCTGATTGGTCAGCTCTGCTCTGATTGGCTGATACTCGGGCTGCACCGGTTGTTAAATATTTTCCTCCAGGCAGAGAGAGAGAGAGAGAGAGAGAGAGAGAAACATCCATCCACTGGTTCACTCCCCACATGGCAGCAACAGCCCAGGGCTGGGCCAGGCTGAAGCCAGGAGCCAGGAGCCTCATCAGGGTCTCCCACGTGGGTGGCAGGGGCCCAGGCACTTGGGCCATCTTCTGGATGCATCAGTAGGAAGCTGGATAGGAAGTGGAGCGGCCGGGACTCGAGCAAGCGCTCTGATGTGTGATGCCGGCAAAGCAGCAGGCGGCCTTCCCCACTGCACCACAGCCGTGGCTGCTCCTTAATGTTTTCAAAGCCACCCTGAGCTACATGGGCCATCGTGCTGCCTGGGGTATTTGGGAGTGGCTTCCCAGACAGACAACAACTTATGTCTGGTCGCTGCTGCACTGCAGTGAGGGGCCGCATGCGTATTAACAATGCCTACCAGAAACAAGGAGAGAGGCCCAAATCCGTTTGCTGTCCCGTGACTTTGGTGTAGGAAATTCACCGGACTGAGTTCAAAGTTCAAAGTCCGTTCAAAGTTCTCACCTTCCCGGGAAAGTGTTCCTGCCACTCCCTTCCCGGTCCCCTCCAACAACAGAGCTGAAGTGGGTGCACCTGTCTCTGCTCTGTCATCACAGGCAGCGTGTCCTCCTTCGACTGGGGATGAGGGAGAATCGAACGGAGACCGAGCGACCCATCCGGCGGTCAAGTCCTCACAGAACGCTTCAGATAAAGAGGACGCGCAGGGGAAGCTGCGAACCCTTCACGCTTAAAAGACAGGCAGATGAGAAGCAGAACGGGCCGAGTCCAAGCCAGCGTGCGTACAGAGACAGGAAGCAGTGGGAGGAAGTAGCCCAGCAGCTTGCAGCTGCTGATCTTGGGGTTCAGCCTGAGCTAACTGGGTGCCCACAGGGTATTCTGGGCACGTCTGATATCTGGGGCATCTGGCGTCGGATTTCCTGACTTCTTACAACCAAAAGCTAGTTATGAATTTCAGTCCAAGGTCAGAGATGGACTAATTTGTCTTTATAATAATGAACTAGCAAGTGAATTCTCCAACACTATGGACTTGTGCTCTGTCTGGGGTGGTGCTGAGCCCGGGTCATAGGTCTGCTCGGAGCCAGACATGTGTGGGAGTCTGGGAGAATGACCCCGTCCTCCGTGCAGATTAACACAGGGCTGCATCTCTGACCCAAGGCTCAAGCTCTCCTGTGCCCCAAGTTCTAGTCGCTTCCCATGCTTGTGAGGTGCTGGCTCTGCACGCCCACTCGGACACACGCTGTCACTCCCCATTCCTCGGCACTGCACGGTCCCTGTGGTCTCACCGCAACGCATACTCGCCTTTGGGAATGGCTCGTTCGCTGCTTCCAGTCCCCTGACTTGGCAATGGCCTGTTTCCTGCCCAGAAGGATACAGTGACCCCCACAGGTGCACACAGCCCACTGCTTCCCGCTGTGCCCAGGGCTGATGCGAGAGAAGAGCTGCAAACCCCACCTCTCATAGCAGCGGCCAAAGACGGGGAGAGAGCAGAGTGGACAGCGGCGACTCAGGAATTCAGCCTGGAGACAACCGGCCTCAAGTCACAGCCAGGCCCATAGAAATCAGGAGAAAGTGTAAAAAGCAGCACCAAATAAATACTAGGGGTAGGCGTTGTGGTGCCATGGGGTTAGGTGCCACTTGGAATGCCCACCCCCATCCTGGGGTGTCGGTCTGAGTCCCAGCTACTCTGCTTTTTAAGTCAGCTTCCCGCTGATGCAAAGATAATTGGACTACTCATCTCTTTAATTGGATAAAGTGAAGATGTACAACACAATGTTTTGATGGACACATACAGACTAAAGTGATGATTAGGCATCATTGCAAGCGAATGCACACGTCCGTCATCTTACATGGCTGCCTCTTAGATGTGTGTGCTGACGGTGTCGGCAAATTCCTGCTATCCATTATTAACCACTGCCTGCATGATGTGCGTTAGATGTCTAGACTTTCCCAACCCGAAGCCAACTGTGTGCCCTTTCACCTACATGCACCCGTCCCCCCTTTCGGCCTCTACCCCAACCCCTACCAATCATATCAGTGTGTTTTGTGTGTTCAATTTTTAGAACATTGGTTATTTATTTTGATTATCTTAAAGGTACAGAGCAAGCCAAAGAGAGAGAAAATTATGAGAGACATCCCCCCTCTGCTGGATTGTTCTCCAAATGCTTGCAACAGCCAGAACTGTGCCAGGCTGAAGCCAGGAGCCAGGGACTCAAAGCAGACACCTCACAGGGGAGGCAGGGGTGCAAGCAATCACACCATATTCTGTTGATTTTGCAGGCACGTTAGCAGGAAGCTGGGTCAAAATAGAGCATCCGGAACCTAGAATCAGCATTTGGATGTGGGATGCAGCCACAGTGCCGGGTCCTGGGGTGCAGATGATGTCTATGAGGTAGTCATTTCATTCCCTTTGCCTTTATACCCTGAAGAGAGATTTCTGGTCTGGTAGTACCATTTTTAATGTTGTGAGAAACCTCCTTGCTTTTTCCCATAGCAGTGGTACCAATCTACGTTCCCACCAACAGCTCACAGGGTTCCCTCCCAACATTTGTGATCTTTTGTCCTTTTGCTAATGGCTGTCTCTTAGGGAGGCAGTATTTCATTGTGGCTTGCTGTCGAACACTTTTCCACATGTATCGTGGCCATTTTTACATCTTCTTTGGAGAAATATCTATTCATGTCCTTTGATGATTACTTCCTTTTTAAACTATGGGGTTGTGTGAGTTCTTTCTAGGTTTTGGATAATAACATGACATAGATGACTCACATGACATATATGTCTCGTGACATACATGACTCACAAACATTCTCTCCTAATCCATTGGCCACATTTTCATTTGGTTTATTGCTTCATTTTCTGTGCAAAAGCTTTTTATGTTTAGGTCTTCAGTCAGTTTGGGCTGATTCTTTTGTGTATGGTATGAGATAAGGGTCCAGTTTCATTCTTTTGCATGTAGAAACCCAGTTTTCCACACCATTTATTGAAAAAACTATCCTTTCCTGTTGTGTCTTCTTGGTGCTGTGTCTAAGTTTGGGTGACCATGTATGCTTGCGTTTATTTCTGGGCTCTATATTCTGTTCCCTTGGTCTATGTATATTTTGCACCAGTACCATATTATAATATATTATCCTAGTGTCACATAATTTACATGCAAATTAACAGGTTAAGGACATTTAATAAATTAAGTTGTAAAGATACCCTGAGAAAGTATTACATATTTTTGCTAGAATCATAAATTAATGAATGGTATTTTTATATTAAATTAATTTTATTTTCTCTGAGCAAGTAAAAAGCCAGAAAGAGCATTCCTAGCAATCTAAGAAGAAGAAGACTCATCTACAGAATCATAACTCATCATAATCACAGCTAAGGCCAAAAAGGGCAGTGAAGCCTGAAACCCGGGGAAAATAGATGCTTCCAAGGACCTGAAGCAGAATATGACAGTCAGGCCATGAGAGAGGTAACAGAAATCTGCAATGGATCCTGCCCTCATGCTCGGGCTGACTCTGGAGCTACGGGTCCAAGGGGATTCACACCCACTCACAGCCTGCTTCTCCATGGGTCACAGCAGGTGCTCGAGAGGGAGGAGTGTCGGAGCTTCTGCTAAGAGGACACCAGGCAGCACAAGCTCCTGCCTCCCTACTCCCACAACAAAGGTACCCCTAGACACACTGCACTTACACTGTTGAAAAGAAAAATTAGGATCATGGAGGGAGTCAGAGAGAAGATACACTGGCTTTTGCCTTACAGGCAGAGGAACCAAAGGGGAATGGCAGCCGACTTCCCTGTAGAAACTATGCGAGTGGAAGGCTATTGGGGAACATCTTAGCAATGCTGACGAGGGAGAAGATTATCAGCCCCAATTCTACACCCAGTGAAAGCACTTCCGAACATGAAGGGAAATGAAGACTTTTTTAGACAAGGATTGAGAACATTCACCACCAACAGACGTGTGCTGCAAGAAATCTCAAAGGAAAACGTCGGGCAGAAGGATTATGGTACTAGACAATAAATATAAAGAATGCTGGAAATGGTCAAAGCAAATGGACTGTGGGCCTCGGTACACCCACCACCACCCTGGGAGCATGCTCTGACCCCTCAGTCAACCAGGCTACGATGTCTTCCCTGAACTGCTCTGAAGGAAATCCGGCCGTCTTAAGAGTAGCAAGGCAGCTACTCACGTACAACTTGGGGGAGAGGCAACTTAGTGGAGGAATAATGGGGCCAGGTTCATTACAGGGCAAAGAACTTTCAATTAAAGTGAGGTCACATGAAAAAAGTATGTAATGAGGATACAGAAAATTCAAGGAAGAGAGATGAGCTTTGCAAATCTAGAGGAAAAACTTAAGGAAGAATTAGATTTAAAATACGTCACTCTAACAGCCTACAATTAAACAAAAAAGGAAGGAGTACTGGGGCCGCTGCTGTGGCAAGGCAGGTAGAAGCTTCCGCCTGTGATGTCGGCATCCCACATGGCACGGAGTGGTGTCCCGGCTGCTCCACTTCCGATCCAGCTCTCTGCTGGGCCCTGGGAAAGCAGTGGAGGATGGCCAAGTGCTTGGGTCCCTGCACCCACGTGGGAGGCCTGGAGGAAGCTTCTGGCTCCTGGCTTCAGATCAGCTCAGCTCTGGCCATTGTGACCATTTGGGGAGTGAACCAGCAGATGGAGGATTCCCCCACACCATGTCTTTCAAATAAATAAATAAATCTTTAAAAAAATAAAAGAATACCAGTGCATGTTTTGATCCATGAGCCAAACTCAAAAGCGCCAAAATTTATATTCGTTCACTATATCTTTGGACCATTTTAGAAAGTTCTGTAGAAAGAAATAAGGAATTGATGAATTGTTGTTTTTTGTATAGTAATTCTATAGTGTTTGTTGTGTGCTAATTCTTGTCTAGGGCTTTGTGAATGCTGAATAACTTCACACACACAGCAACCCCATGAGGTACAAGTGGGTGTTATTCAGACTTGGAAATGTGCTCAGGCCACTGGGAAAGCTGAGGTTGGGAAGCAGGCTTTTCTCTGAAGTCTTTACCTTTAACCCTTGTCCCAGGTATCTCCCCAGCATAATGATTATAAACAAACCCCACATTCTTGATAGAGATCATTTTCCTGTTTGCAGAGTACGTAGAAAGCAAAGAAAACTTCAGCAAGCTCAAGGGGTAAAGATTTTAGAGTTTATATTATCTGATTATGATTCAATAAATCAGAAAAAATGATTGAACAGGTGATCCATAACTTACTAATCAGAGATTAGGAAATATTTAGGGAATACTTGGGTCAAAGAGGAAATCTACAGGGAAACGCCGGATCCCTTTGAAAGGCCCTGGGGTCGGGGGGAGTCTCACAGCAGACTCTAGACCCTTGTGCAAAATGTTCTATCTGAAATATTTTAAGGCCAAAATGCCTCCCTCGCCAAAGAATCAAGATGAGAAATAAACTAAATCCATCCCCCGAGAAACTGTAAAAGAGTATAAAGAGCATTTTAAAAAGACAAAAGTTTAAATTAATGAACCAGGAACCAAAGCAAATAGAATCTATAAGAACACCAAAACCCTCATTATACAAAAACATCTACACATATCTATAAAAAGCTTCATTTTTTTTAAAGGAAAGACAGTAACACTATGAGATCAGGAAGCAGAAAGAGCAAATATTAAAATGCCTGAAAGTACTGAAAGTAATGTAATATGAAACTCTATGGCAACAAATTTGAAAACTGGAATAAACATTGAGAAAAAGCGGTGAAACTATCTATTTTTGCAGACGCTGTGGTTGTAAACCTAGAAAACCCAAAGGAATCTAATAAAAGTCTCCTAGAATTAAGTGGAGAATTTGGCAAATTCGGGTCCAGAAATGTGCCAAAACATCATTAACCTTTCTCTATTCTAGGAATCAGAATAGGGCTGGAAAAGTTTGTTTAAAAATGGTGAAAATAAAATCCCTGTGAAATATTTGAAACAGATATGACCGAGAGAAAAAGGGGGGGGGGGCAAACAACAGTCATATTAAAATATTTAAGAGAAGTGAAAACAGGGAAAGACTTAATGGAATCTTGGACAAGCAGTCTTGGTGCCATAAACGTAGTTAAAGCCCCCACATTGTGTGTGTGTATTTCACTGAAAATCACAACAAAGCAGACTTTCAGTTTGTTTGTTTTTGATAATTAGATAAAGTGGTCTTAAAGTTTCCAGAGAAAATATAACTAGCAAAGAAAAGACAACTAATTTTGGAGAAATAAACAGAGACGACTCAGGGAAGCCATCTCTGAGGAGCCTCCCATTCAAGTCACGTCCTCCTGGGCCTGGATTTATTGCACAGCAAGGAGAGGGTGCAGTATGTGGGTGAAGAACGTGCAAGGTAGAGCCAGGGCTTGCCCGGAGTCTGGTGCTGCGCGCACTACGTGGGCAGGGACACCTTCCTACTAGAAGTGGAGAAGACAACTGCGGTGGGAGAAGAGAGATTCAACTGTAACGGACATTTCCAGGGAAAAAGGCCGAAAATACAGGAGACCGTGATGGATCGCAGTGTGTGTGTGTGTGTGTGTGTGTGTGTGTGATGTACATAATAGATTTAACTTTTGGGATATATAAACTTACTATAACTCGATAAGAAGCGAGGACAAACCAATAGGCAGATTTTATGAATGGGAAATGAGAAGTCTTCAAAGAGTTCATGGAGAAGCATAATAGGAAAAACTTATGCGTGGATTTCAAGTGTTTCTGCGCCAGCATAAACTTATCTTTCCATTCCATTTTCCATGAACTTTTGGAAGTCTCCTCCTATGTTAAAAAAAAAAAAAACCCAAAAAGTAAATCCAAATGGCTAAGAAACATGGAAAGCTCCTCGAATTCACGGAGAGGAAAGAGAATAGATATACATGGATTAGCTAGGCGATGCGGTCTGCGCTCACTGCCCCGGCTGTGGACCACTTGCTGCCCACAAGGCTGCCGGAAAGGGGACCCTCTGGCAGTGGTGTGGGTGGAAAGAGACGCTGCGGCCGCTTGGGGAAGCAGAGTGGCACCATCTACCTATTAACACTCAAACTACAGGTCCTCTGCAGGCCAGCAACCCCCCCAGAGACCCTCGCCATCCGAGGAGTCACATACCAGGCTGCCTGCTTGCTTGCTTGCTTTTCTCTTTTGTTCTGCAAATTATAGGAGCTGGGAGTTGTTTCCAGTACTAGGGGAAGGGCTGAGGGAATCATAGCACACGCACTCGACGGAGCAGCGTCTGGCAAGAGGGGACTGGAGTGGGCCGCTCCCAGCACGGGTTTCAGGAAAACACCATGCAGAGGGGAATGTATACCAACAGTGATCAAAACTCCCCGGGGCGACTTAGTCCAGGGGCCAAGGCAGGAACGAGGCGTGCTGGAGAGTTACTGCAGGTTACCTGGGCAGGTGGCGAATTGATGTGTGTGAGAGAAGAGGAAGCATGAGCCAAAAACCCAATGGAAGACCTCCAGGCTGCCCGCCACCTGCACCTGCGCTTGTACCGATCGCGCATGCGCGCACCTAGGGGCGCCGTCCTCGCACCTGCAGCCGTCACCTGGACAGCCAGAGGAGCTCAGGCTCACCGACAGGCCAGCGTGCTGCCCTGTTTGCCACCCTGTCCCTCCACATTCTCCAGGGAACAGCAGGACACCCTCAGGATTCCAAGGCTCCCCTCCCGATCGTGTCTCAGGTCAGGACAGTGTCCACCCGGCAGGGCTCCAACACCTGTCTGGGGCGGGCGCCCCCTGCGGTTTCTACGGCTGTCCGTCCTACACCTCCTTGTAGGGAGTGACCCCGACGCTGACCGCCGTGGGTCACGCGGAGGAGGGCGAGTTAGGGAAGCCACAAGGTGTAGTGCCCCACTCCGGGCCCCACAGCTCCTCAGCCCTCGGTCTCTGTAGAGCCGCCGACACTGTGACCCTCTCCAGGGCCGAGCGAAAGGAAAGCCCGCACTGCTGATGCCCGAGTCCCTCTGCTCTCTGCGGCAGAGGGAATGTGCCCTGCTCTCCGGTCCTGGCGGGCCTCTGTCTGCCTCCTGCACCTGCTGGTGGCCCGCGATTCCCCGACTGGCAGCAAAGCCTGGAACAGACATTCCCTGTGCAGAGGTAACTGCCTCCTATCCAGTAGCCACTTCCAAGGTCGCAGGAGCCGGGGGCCCCCACGTCTCCCATCAAGGTGCTGGCCAGTACTGCACGCCCGAGCAGCAGCGTGAGGCCAGTATCTCAAGGCCATCTGCGGCTGCTGTCATCCCACGTTCTTTGGTGGCACCTGCATGTGCCATGCACTGAGTGGCCTGCTTGGCATGGCTTGCCTGGCCAGCCCTGCCACACGGACGGCTCCCAAAAGTCACAGCGCGGAAGAGACAAGGAGCTTCCCAGGCGGCAGGGACACCACGCTCATTGGCCGAGGGTGCAGCCGTCACAGCACGTGGTGGCAGCCACAGCAGCTACGGCCACTGCCGTGCACTGAGACCCCCTCTGTGTGCTGTTGTCGCTTTCCATGAAGGGGCTCACTAGTGAGCTACTCGTTTGTCATGTCCACAGCTTTTCCCAAGCTGATGCAGTGAGTTAAACGGCAGAAGCTTAGTTCGTGGCAAACATCCTTGGCTCTGCCGTTATGAGCATTTAAGCCGAGGGATACTGACCATTGTCACTGACGAGCATTCCCTAGCTGGAAATCACCCGCAAGCAGTGATCTTTGAAGCGTTCACGTCTCATCCGTGCTACCGAGAACACGCAGTGTGTCTGGGCCTGTAGTTGTTACGACAGAAAGTTCTAGAACATAGAAACTTCAGGCTGGCGCTGTGGCTCACTTGGCTAATCCTCCGCCTGCGGTGCCGGTACTCCAGGTTCTAGTCCCTGTTGGGGTGCCGGATTCTGTCCCGGTTGCCCCTCTTCCAGGCCAGCTCTCTGCTGTGGCCTGGGAGTGCAGTGGAGGATGGTCCAAGTGCTTGGGCCCTGCACCCCATGGGAGACCAGGATAAGCACCTGGCTCCTGCCATCGGATCAGCGCGGTGCGCCGGCCTTAGTGGCCATTTTGGGGGTGAACCAACGGAAGGAAGACCTTTCTTTCTGTCTCTCTCCCTCTCACTGTCTAGCTCTGCCTGTCAGAAAGAAAGAAAGAAAGAAAGAAAGAAAGAAAGAAAGAAAGAAGGAAAGAAAGAAACTTCAGCACAAAGGAACGCATCTCAGAGTCTTGGCTGACCCTATTTTGAAGAGACCAGAATTAGCACCATGATGGCACCCAAGAGGGGGCCAGGAGATCCCACACCGGGGCGGAAACGGGCAGAGGGGCTCAGCACCCTCTCAGCCCCTGCCACAGGAATCCAGGACCTAGTTCCAGGCTTCTGCTTTCTTCCCCCTTCTTGGAGCAAAACCCCGGCTTTCGTTTTTGGATGTCACTTCACTCAAAGACGGCTCACCAGGCCAGCCTAACCTGTGTTAGCAACTAGAATAATCTCCGGAAAGGAAAATTTACTTTGGGATTTAAGATGATCAAAACTGATGACTTCTCAAGAGGCTTGGAAACCCGAGGTTGTAAACACAGCTGGAGAAACACTTGAGCGTGGGGCCATAAACTCCAGCGCCATACACTCCGCCCTGCGCTCACGCAGGGACAGCACACCACGTACAGGGCTGCGGGACGCGTGCTGTGTTTTTGTTCAGCCCGTGGTGAAGAGAGGCAAGAGTGGAGTGTGATAGCCCACGCACGTCATCCGTGTGTGTGATGTAAACATCTCCCTCATGTTGTTGAAGTGGTGCGAAAGGGTTGCATTCAGCCCGGCCACCAGATTCTAACACGGAGATGTTATATAATCAAACGCGAAAATGGTGATTGGACGGGAAAAGGGAGTTCTACTATGTGTTGCCTAAGAAGTCAGTAGAGGGGCCGGCTTAGGGGCGTAGTGGGCAAAGCCGCTGCCTGCAGTGCCAGCATCCCATATGGGAGCCGGTTCGAGTCCTGGATGCTCCACTTCTGATCCAGCTCTCTGCTGTGGCCTGGGAAAGCAGTAGAAGATGGCCCAAGTCCTTGGGTCCCTGCACCTGCATGGGAGACCTGGAAGAAGCTCCTGGCTCCTGGCTTTGGATCGGCACAGCTCCGGGCGTTGCAGCCATTTAGGGAGTGAACCAGTGGATGGAAGACCTCTCTCTCTGCCTCTGCCTCACTGTAACTCTGTCTTCCAAATAAATAAATCTTAAAAAAAAGAAGTCAACAGAAATGGAGCCAATTTTCTCCACATAGAAAAACCTGGACTTGCCAAGCTATGCACCATGTACGGGGGTCTTCAAGAAGTTTAAGGAAAATACACACTATCTCTGTTGAAAGGAAATATTGATTTACTGGAGAGACAGGGAGACCTAGAGATGGAGAGAAAGACACGCAGAGAGTTACACACACACACACACACACACACACACACACACCTCTCCTTTGCCAATTCATTCCCTAACTGCCTGCAACCCCTGGGGCGAGGCTGGCGCTGGAGCTGGGAGCTCCATTGGGGTCTCCGTGGTGGTGACAGGAACCCCACTACTTGACTCGTGCCTGCTGCCCTGGGGATCTGCACTGGCAGGAGTCGGAGCCAGGAATCGAACTCTGCGCTCTGACATACGCGTCTCAGCCGCTGGACCAAATGCCTGCCATGCACGGGTTCTCCTAATTCCATTTCCCACGAACTTTAGTATTACATTCACAATGACCACCTGTGCTGGTAGAGTGAGGAGCATTGGTTATTTCTGTCTCTTGGCTTACTGATATTTTTGAAATTTTTCAAAACAACATCTTGTTTTTATAATCAATAGTGTGCTTTTGAAGTCAAAACAATGAGACTAACTTTCCTCCTCATAGACATTCTTCTATCATTTAAATAAATTCCCCTTAACCTATTTTGACTACCAGGTAAATCCTCGTCCTTGACTCACTTTAAAATAATGTTCCCTTCCGGGAGAGCTCTTCCGATCTCTAGAAACACATGTCAAGGTTGATGGTGTTTATCTGTGGCTTTGGGCCTTGGAAAACAGTTCCACTGATGAGGAAAGAAATTATGCTTGAAAAATTTCTTTTTCAGATGACTGGCTGTGCAGTTCATTAGCTCGAGACACAGAAGGCACTTTCTGGAAGCATAATGGCCCAGGACCTCGCTCCTGGAGATAACAAGCCTTTGTGTTTGCAGGTGGCCTTCCCCTCCAAGAACAAAAACTGGAAGCGCCCATTGAATTGCCCTGTGGACGGGCGTTGCGTCAT